TGACTATCTGATCGTATCAAGAAAAAGAGGGAGTAGTGTAAAAACATGAAGACTCTTGGCATCAAATGCCGGGAACAGTAGCCGAATCGCTAAACCAAGCTCCGTGAAGCCACGGAGGTTAAGCAACTCGAGACACCGCAGGTCCCTGGATGGGTAACCGTCAGGGTACCCTGGGAATCTAACGGCGCCAAGCCCCTGGTTGAAGGTATAAAAGGCAATTGCTGACTACGACAGACGATGACTGAGTGGGTTAATCGAAGCTTACTCCACGTTAGACGCTAGTACGTGGCTAGAGAATGTCGCTAAGAAGAAAAGTAACAGAAAAATCTTCTAAAAAAATGCAAGTGAGCGTATAGGAAATTCTTACTTATTAATGGATTAGGAGATGGATCACTTTTAAAAATACTCTTTCCTAGGTAAAAATTCTGAAATCCACAGTTTTTTTATATGCAATATACACTGCGACAAAAATAATGAGCCAAAATCAAGTTTGAATGATTAAAAACAGTTTCGACTATTAAAATTATCTTAACATTTTTAGAAGTAATTTGGTTGCAAGTGTCAATTGTAGTTTACTTTGTTCCGGATTTGTCTTTTGACCTTTTTTCGACAGCTTGTGCCTGTCAACGCCAGATAAACCAGGTACTGAATGTAATAACGTTGTACTTACCAGGAAGTTTACATATAGACAAAGGTAAAAATGCACTTTAGAAAATCGACACATCGAAAACTTTCGAAAAAATCGTTAAATTTTGACATTATTTCCTTTGAAAGAAATTTGTCGATAGTTTTCGAGCCTACTAGCAATTTATGGAGCAAAATGAAATCCATAACAAGATTTGACATTAGAATTTTGTTTCTGTTGAAGGCTAGTCGGTTGATTGATTTATTGCTGTTTTGGGCAAGAATTAGTTCCGTTATGGGGATTCGTTCCTTTGGTGCCGGTGTCTCAACCGCTGCTGAATGGAGAGATGTAGATCTGCTGTCGGCTTGCGGGGCACTTCCTCTCCAGGTAGCGCCCCAACGGGGCACCCACCACTCCCGGGAAAAGCTCTGGTCTCCGACATGTGTGATAGGGTGTGTGTGTGTATGTGTGAAAGTGTGTACACGCGCGCATAGTGGTCGGCTGTTTTTTTTTCTTTCCCAGAATACATGTTTGCTTAAAAGGTACGCGAGAGTGAATCCAATGCGTCACCCGCCTCGCCCGCGAGAAAAAACGTCGTTTGACTTCAGACTCTCACTCAATGGAAATAAAATACTTTTGGATGCAACATGGGAGTATATATGGAGTATAACGTAGGAAACTTATAAGCGGTTTTTTTACACACGGAAAGAAAATACCAATAACTTATTCACGAGACTCCGGACATACCAGATTGTGTCGTATCAACGGGATTCTCTGATATGATTCTCTCGCGTTATCTACAATCTATGTAGTGTTCTGATAACACAGAGCAACAAATTTGAACTTTGTATCTTGCAGCGAGATGAAATATGTGTTCTTTCCTAAATCACATACGCTGATTGAGAAAATGAAATTATAAATGTTCCATCGCCTACCATTTTTTCTGGAAAAGCTACTTCACATTTACTACTTACGAGAAACTTGGAAACATCAGGATCAGTACAAGAGGAATCTGTAATTTAGTACATACAGATCATGTTACAAAAATTGTTTGTATTAATTTTTTGCGTAATTAATTGTTTATCTTATAAAACATTAAATTAAAACCGTACGAGTACGTTATTAAATCTAACAAGTTGGAACTTTTTCCTGGAAACTTTCATTCGTGGATGGATGATGCAACTTCTTGAAGAAATATCCAGCTGTAAAAGATTTTGTGACTAAATTCTCTTTTATCGACTTTCCATGGCATCGATATCTTGATGAATTCGCACACCATGTTCGTCACTCACATCTCCAATATTAGATGGGAAGAAATCCAAAAGGTAAAGATTCCCTTTCAATTTCCTATTGGCCTTAGCACTATCCACTTGTACAAAGCCCGACGAGCGGTCCCTAGGGAAAGTCGGAGGAGAAACGAACAATTTAACCCTCGTGACTGAAACAAACACTAAACAGCTCTGACACAATCGTTTGACGCAACAAAGACTCGCCCAATGACGTTTTCAAGAAAACACGTAACTGGCGCAGACGAACAGCAGGAAAAAACAGACTTAACCGTGACATCGACCCAGAAACTGAGTGGGAAACGCAGGACAAAACCAGGTGAGTAGACCAGAAAATTACACGAGGACCATATCATTCACGTAGAGATGTGCCTAAAAGTCGCAAAATCTGAAGTTAAATGATGCGCTGCACCAAGCCAAATTAAAATGAACATGACTGCTACATTGATAAAACTGATTTGATAATACATTAAAAATTAAAGAAAATAAAATAAAAAAACTCGTGCGAGTGAAAGCTCGCAACGCAACACGACGCTACATCGTACAATGTGAGGTGAAAAATGAACTGGTAAAAGACAGTAAACATGCAATAAACCCATTACTTAAAGTGAAATAGACTCGAGTGCGTTCGGGTCATTTTCGAGTGTGGTGTGGGAAGGATATCCCAAAATGTCTTAAGAACTTGAACCAAGTATCACGAGTGCAATGAATTTCGGGACGCAGCTGCCAGACCACACTTGAGCCACACTTTCACCAGTCGGCGGGGCATCCTCCTCGCCGTTACGGCCGTGCCAGACGACTTCCCTGGGAGGCAGTCCAGAAAAGATCCATTAAGAAACGAAGTACCGTAATGGGTATATGCCACCCATCAGGAGCGTTAATGAATGATTGATCGATTTTTAGTACTTTCGAGCGCATCCACTGGCATGGTCACTAGTGTCATAAGTGAAAAGCATCTTCTTACATACGGAGGGGGTGGTGTTTCTCCCCTGCTAAAACGTAAGATTCGTCAACGACCTACACGCCCGGCCCCTTTGCGATGTTTCATCCGCCAAGTAATTCCTTCAGCAGGGCACCACTCCAGTCAAGACAAGCTCTAACAAGCTCTAAGTTTCCTAACACACGTGGCAGTGTAGTAAATGAAAGTGTGTGTGTGTATGGGAAGAGGAGGGCACAGGGATGAAGGAAGAACGCGAGCGGCCCGTGACCTTTTTATTCAGGTACTGTTCTGGCAACCTCCAGGTAGTGATCCGAGAAACTACGGAAAACTACCGATCATAGCAGCCGGTCACTAGAATTCTCCTCCAGATAAAGGCTGGATTCGACCCAGCTATCAAACTGATGTCAAAAATCCACCATTATCAGGAAAATCATCATAATCGTCAAAAACAGTTTTTTTTTCGAAATTAAAATGTTATACATCTAGACCAATATACACTGAAGAACAGTTACAATGTACAGTACAATCTTTCTTCATAGTACTGTGGCCATAAAGAATTATGTTAATTATATAGGAGAATTTCTACGATAACCAACACATCAGCTACCGGGGTTTCCCGCGCCAGGTATCGATCTCACCTAATATGATATCATCAATGAATCTAAATTTCTTGACAATTAAGATACCGTTTACTTTTCACGAGAAAAGCTGAATATCATGGTGCAAATGTCACCAATAATTCATATTCATTACATGATATGAATAAGTTTTTGAGGCCTGCAAAATACGTGGTCAAATCAATTCTTATTTATGGAGCAAGTTATGTGTTTTATGGATTGGTTTGTGAACAATCACAAGCAGTTACATTCTCCTCCAAATCCGGTATAGTCACCAGAAGAAGCTGAATGTCTTCAATGGATTGCGTGCACAACTTAGAATCGCATTGCAGCACAAGCAAAGCCGTTGTTAATTTATTCACTGACAACAGAAACTCAATCTTTATAAAAACGTTTTTAAAAATATGAGGGGCATTGGAAATGTTTATTTTTCTAGTACGTTTTAATGAGCAAACTTGAGTCACGACTATTGGCAAGATGTCTTTGCTTTTCCTCGTGTCGAAACTATCAGAAACGTGTTTGTTAATTTCCTGGCAGAGTTAAAGCACATTGGCTCAGTTGACTCAGCACTTCCTTTTAAATAGATATCACCGAGATGGCTGGACTCCATTCTGCAGACACCCCTTCGGCTGACACTCTCACGGTTGAAGTGACATGTGTGTAAGATCTAATCGTGTTTTTTTCAATATTACCCAATGATTAAACTTTTGGAAGCAAAAGAAATTAAGGCAACGTATCGTGAAACAAACATTACTGTCAACTGCTTCACATTTACAAGAAATAATAAATTCCACTATTTTTTCATGATAACCAAACTTCTGCCAAAAATTCGCCGATTTTCGCACACAACTTTCTCTTCTTACGAAGTACATTCGTTAAAGTAAAAGGTGGATGAAGATGAAAGAAAGAAGGAAAAGGGAAGATGAGGAGGGCGAAACACTAAGAGGGCGAAACGCTAAGAGGGCGAAACGCTAAGAGGGCGAAACGCTAAGAGG